GAGTTAACCAGTAAAGAAAAGTAACTAAAGAGCTTGATGGGAGCTTGATTTTCAATATTTATTTACCCGCTGTCGAGGGCCGGGGCATGAGTGTATCACCTTTTTCTTTAAGTTGTTAGGCTTTAAGCGGGTATTTTTATCCCGATAGAAGATCAGCTGGCTACCGCCATTGTTGGCAGCAATTCAAATCGCGCTTCTGTGACTCAGCGTGTGACGTATGACCATAACTCTGCTCTGATTGGATATCACTAAGAAGGCGTGAAAAATATTCCGCGAAAGCTATTTCTATAAATAATTTTTCGTCGGAAAGGGTTGACTCCAAGGGCTTATATGGGAGATGAAGGTTCCAAGTAATCGGCTCCTGATAAAAGCTGTTATCGAGTAGTACTTCGACTGAAATTCATCGTGACTGTGGAATTACTGTACAATCAAGCGGAAAGTGATTTTGTCCAATGTCAAACAAATATGCAGGCCTTTGCCTCCAGGATCTGCAGTGAATTTTCACAAATTGAACTTAATTGAAATATAATTGTTCATCAAAATGCCTTATGGAATCTGGTCTTCTCTACAACCCGACCATGAAACAAACAAATCTCAAGTCAGTCCTCCAGCCAGGAACGATGACAGGTCGCCGATCTGAAACATTTGAAGGCCTCTTATATCTTCTCTCTTCCGAGGATAAGTACAAAGGATTTTTCTTATATTAAAGGGAAGATTGACCGATCGATTGGAATCAACTACAGCTCTTTCAATTTTAAATGGACCCAAGTCTTTCTCTGTTACTAGTTGTTTCATCGCAGAGGTCAATGAATTTTTTAGAAATACAGGTCATACAAGATAAGTCTAAACCAACGCGTGCCGCTATGATATGGCTGAGAGTTAAGGTGATTAGAACTAGGCTGTGTACGGCGGTCCACTTCGCAAGAAATGAAGTAAAAGATCAGAAGAGTCGCGAAAACAGACTTTTCCAGTACAAACTTTATGCATTTACGATAGCTTGTTTGTCATTTATAGCGGAGCTCCCGCGCGCGAAGCACCATGGGTAACAAAATTTGGTAAACTATCCAACCGAGAAAATTTGGTTATGACGTAGCGTACGCCCACCGGTACAGACACTTCATGTAAGCCGATGTCAAATGTCACAATAGATCTTGCACAACTTGACTAGCCTTTCAGTTTTATAAGCCATCCGTATTAGTACGATTAGATTAACAGCTGTCAAAATCAGACATCCGCTGAAAATTATCACATGACATCTCGCGGGCTCAAATAAAAGACCAGTCGTTTTGCCCCTACATATAAGCTGATATAGTATGTCACACTTACCAATTCAACATAAAAACGAAACTACCCCGGTCAGGGCTGTCAGTAGGCTGACAGTCGTTTAAACTGGTCATATTGGCAAGCCAAATTAAAGTCAATTGACACCGGTCAAAATGGAATATGTGCAGACCACTATCAGAAAACTAATATCGTGGGCTCAGGTTCGCTCAGGTACACGATCTGGTACTACAAGCCGGATATGTCTTACTCAAACTGTTAATTCGTATATCTTTTCGGACAGTTTAGTTATTTTCTACTGTCTTTAACTTCTTAGTGTAAGCGCTGGTCTCATCTCGGGCATGTGTACTTTTTGTAGTGCAGTGGAACCTCGATAAAACGAACCTCTATATAACGAAGTCCTCGGTATAGCAAACGATTTTCTTTACCTCACTAATCAGTAAAATACATGGAAAAGGACCTCGATATAACCAAACCTTGTTCATGCTAACGTTTTGCCAGTCCTTTGGACCTTCGTTATATTGAGGTTCCACCGTAGAATACCGTATTTATTCGATTAACCGCCCTGGGCGCTTATTAAAATTTTGGACCTTGAGAGTGGGCGCTTATTCGAGGTGGGCGCTTATTTGAGGCTGGGCGCTTATTAAATTTTTACCGTTTTCAGCAAGTGAAGTATGTTTATTTTGCAACAAAACAACAAAAAGCTAATAACAAAACGCGAAGAAGTAACAAAGCAAGGTTTCTGTAAAATACTCTGAAGACAACTCCGTCCTCGCATCGGCTCCTGGTCCTCGGGGAAGTCTCTTATTAGAATCTATTCTCTCAAGTGGGTGGGGTGGGGGTGAGCGCTTATTTGAGTATGATTGTGAGGAGGAGGGGGTGGGCGCTTATTCGAGGATGGGCGCTTATTAACTTTTTCTGCCTTTAGGATGGGCGCTTATTCGAGGTGGGCGCTAATTCGAGGTTGGGCGCTTATTCGAATAAATACGGTATGTAAAAACCCATCATTGACAAAGGAACTAGACATATCGTAACTTCGCAAAATTGCACGCAAAAGTTATCTTCTATAAAGTAGATGTGTCAAGATCTCTTTTTAGAAAGACCCCCTGTATATCCATTCTCCAAGGAACTACCTCTCGTATACGACTAATTGGCCTAATAACCGCTGGATGTCTCGTCTAGACTGACTTACAAATCATTTTACGTCTCGATTCAGACATGAATTGAAACATTCAATTCCACCTTTTCCAGTCACTGATTCAATTCAACATTCAACTCAAACATTTAATTCAGACGATTGTGAGCAAAGCAAAAAGAGGTTCGGCTCGGTCGGGTGTAAATCGGCCCAGTACTGGTAATTGAAATCGCGTCGTCGATCGTTTCCCAGAAATTGTGTTCTTTGTTTATAACTGTATTGCATATGACTAATTAAAAATCAGCCTTGTACTTTCATACAATTGGGGGAGTTAAACTACTTTTAGTGATCAGTTTTCATCGGCAAACAAGCCGATGCTTTACAACTTATATTTTTCTTCATTCGTTAGTCTGACATCTCAATTTTCTGGTTAGAATTGCACTAATTAAAATTGAATATGGAAAACAAAAATGTCGGATAGAAGACGGTAGGTCGGGAAATAAAAATAGATATCTATGTTAGCCAACACCCAACGATTGATCAGTTATCCATTGTTACCAAAATAAGGCTCTTTGTTACATGCTAGCATAGATTACCTAAAAATTATTTTGAAACCTTTTCTTACTGGTTGGTTAATTTCTGAAAGACGTGAGCCAATCAGCGGCAAACAAGGAAGCTTCACACCAACCTCGTTCCCAGAGTTCTCCCTGTTGCGTCGAGGAAAGAGAGAGAAGCCTGGAAACGAATGGCCTGGGTAATGGAGCATCGTCTTAGCAGTCACTCGGATAACTATCAACGCGCCGTTTCTCTCGACTCGACTAAAATAGAAATGACGCGAAACATCATATTCAAGATCTAAACGAATTCACAATTACTCAGGGACTCACAGAATTTTAGAAGAAGGCTCTGTATGTGTGAAGGGTATTATGTTAGAAATCCGGCGAAATGACAATTTACCACTGTTAGTAATTTTGTCAGTTCTAATTCTCTAAAAAGAAGTTGTTTGGAGAAACTCTTTCGTTGGTCTCCGCCTGTCGTTTGTCGCGTGCAAGCGATCTCTTGTGGCGGTTTAGCATCAACGAAAGACCTTATGACCCACGGCCTAACCTGTTTCTATCCGTTTGCATGACTCCATGACTTCAACCTCGTTCTCAGAGCTTTTCCTCTCTATTTCAAAGTGAAACGCCCTTGGGACGAGGCTGCCCGGCATTACGTTTGAGAGTGCCGTGTGCCTTGATTTACCATATTTGCCGTCGCTATTTGCGTTTTAATTTTGACCAAGCCACAATGGCTGAAGACCGAGAGGTAATATGTAAAAGTTGATGCCCTTTATTCGGGAAATAGAGAGATGAAGTCACTTTACTATGGTAGCAAAATTTTTGGATCACAACAGGAAGCTACAATAGGGAGTTTTTGCAACGGCAAAAAAGCAATAGGTTTAGATCGGCAGAAAACATCACGCTTTTCTGCACATTTCTTAGCCTTTGTTGCACGACTGCGTCATGAAAGTTCCTAATTTCACTGCCCGCTTTATCAAGTAGGTGAGCGTAACACAAAAATTTTCTTTTTCTTTTTCCAAACTTAGGTTCTGTCCTTTCTGATTCAACCCAGAAAATTTCGCCAACATTTGACAAATTAAATGAAATTAAATAAGATGGATAAAGTTTTAAGCAGTGCTAATCCACTGTTTAATTGACGTTTTATTTGTTATCATCCAGAAATTTTGCTACCATCGCAACGTGACGTAACGACTTCCCCTCTCTATTAAGCTAGGATTTATTATTTGTTGGACTCACCCGCGCACATGGATCACTGTTGGCCTTGAGATCCCGGCCGAGTCACGCATTTCGGGATATGTGAACCAGTTGCCTAGCTAGCCGACTAAACTTCGGCCGATTTAGAGGTTGAGAAAGTTTTGAAGCGGGTTAACTTTCGAGAGGAAATGTGTTTTGAAGAGAAAAAAGAAGCGATTTGGATCATCAGCTTAACAAACGAGTGAAAATTTTTCTGGTGGTAAGAGAACATTTGTGAGGAAATTGCCGGAGAAAACGAGAAAACCAACTCTTCCAGTTGCAACCGCACTAAATGAAATCTACGATAAAATTCGCACTTTCTCTTAAGATCTACGAGACGCGTATTTGTAGCTTATAATCTTTATTAGTATATATATATATATATATGAATTTCTCGCTATATTGAACCTTAAAATACCTTGAAAGGAATAGCCTCGAGCGAAGAGTTCCTTGAGAATGATTATAGCTGCTTTAAACTAGAATCTCCCTCGTCAAGACTTACACGGCCGTTACTCGCTACGGAACTTAACACCAGCAAAGAAATTACTCGTAGATGATTGTACCCCAGGAATTATATTCAAGTTTCCAAGTAACCGCGCGAGAGCATCTTTACAAAAGAGAGTTTGAAAAACTCTCCGCCTGAACAGTTTTCAAAAGCCTAAAATGCAATTTTTTAAAATACTTTTCGATTTTTTACATCCGTACTTTAAACTGCTGATGTTTTTGCTTTACATCTGAATTTTGCTAAATTTCAGCTCGTTAAATTTGGTTTGGCCTGCTCACCCAATATAAACCTGGAGACGATTTCATTCCTTTTTTCAGCTGACAGTGAACTGGAAACCTGCAATCTCTCTCCCGAAACAGGACCTTGCAAGGCTGCGATTCCTCGGTATTTCTTCAATCCTCACACTCATGACTGTGAACGTTTCACTTATGGTGGATGTCAGGGCAATGCAAATAACTTCAAAACTCTTGAAGACTGCGAAAAGTCGTGCGCACGTAAGATCGCTATAAAACTTTGATCGCTATATGTATAGGAGCTTATAGGTAATAGCAGGATTTGTTGTGAGATTTGGCATAAAATACCACGAGTGATGTTTCGAAATTGTTATACGTAATTTCACGAGCCGTTAGGCGTGTGAAATTTGAGACAATTTTGAAATATCACGAGTGGTATTTATTATGCAAATATCACTGCAAATCATGCTATTATTTGTTTATACTACGATCCGCAAAGGGTTTGTAAATTTCACATGTAGGTATTTCAAATTAAGCTGAAATACCACTGCCCTAAGCCAATCAAATTGCAGAAATTTCTCATGTAGTAGTATAAAGAATGTAATTTTTCTTATCTCAAACAATAATATTTCTGCCTCATTGGTCATTCCATGCTGGCCACGTTGTTAATAGAGAGCATTAGATTCTACAGCGAGGACGACTACGCGAACGAACTTTTCTTGATACTTAGTAGTGCGCGCGCGTGAACTAGGCTGCGTCATTTTGGCGGGAAAACGCCATTGCCTTTGACGTTTTGCTACGGGTTTTGACGAAAATGTCGTATTGGCAAAAAATGGTTTTCAAATGGTAGAAGTTTTATCATTATGCGTTCTTGAGAGGGCTTTTAAGCTATTGAGGGACCTCCCTCAATACAAATATCCCTCCTAACATTTCTGGTGCAAAAAGTAAAATTGAGATTTAGCGGATGTCTATTAGTTTCTGAGAAAAAACGAAAAAACTATAAGTCAAATCTCGTCCTCGAAATTAAAGGTCTCTTTTAACAATTCCTCATTTTTAGCTCCTCGATCAGACGCTGAAGTAGAAAGCTGTAATCTACCTCCAAAGCCTGGGCCCTGTAAGGCAGCCATACCTCGGTATTATTTGAACCCACGCACCTATAACTGTGAGCGATTCATCTATGGTGGATGCCGCGGCAATGCTAATAACTTCAAGAATCTTGAGGAGTGCAAGGCTTCATGCTTGCGTGAGTATCTCTGTATTATCCGTGTAAAGATTGTTTTCACTTGACGTCACAGCGGCCATTTTATTTGGTGTACAAATTTGCCTAAGAAATTACATAGCTGCTGAACACGTGAGTGAAAACGATCTAAAATGTCTTGTCGCAGGACAAATTGCAATTTTTCTCTTTTTCTTGCATGTGTCACTTTCCATTTAGGGAAACAAAAATTGTTCTGAAAAGGTAAAAAGTCTGCGTATTAATTAATAAAAAAAGAAAAGTTGCTTTTTACTTGTACAAGTTTATCCCAAGTTACATAAGAGGGAATTAAAAACTCGTGAGGCTGAAATTTACCTAAAATTTTTTCAAAATTTTCAGCTTGAAGGTTTGTTGTCGAGAATTTCCCACTTTTCAGTATTACTCGAAACATTTCTTGCAAATTTCGCTCATTTTCTCGCCTTTCGAAATTCCGGAAATCTCGATCATACAGTTAGCGCCTAAACTAGCAGAAAGTATCAGTGATATGCTCCTACACTGTACGTCTTCTAGGGTGTTGGTAAGAATGCTCATGGCCAAGGGGGCGGGAGGGTAAAACTCAGGGTTAATAACCCTGCTGTATAAAGAGCCACGTGTTCCTGAAATCTGGCACTAGGAAACACTGGCCGAGATCCTTGTTCCGGGTGCTTGACTTACTGCAGTGCCAACTTGAACAGCACGGGTGAAAACCAGTTGCTTAGCCCTGCAGGGAACGCAAGTCAAGAAATTATGAATAGTGAAACCTAGCAAAGGCCTTCTGCGCCTGTAGGCGTGAAGAGTTTGTCTGTGATGTGTTTCTTACAAGATTGTGCTGTGTAGCTTCCCTTTCAGACAGTCAAGAGGCAAGCTGCAACCTCCCTCCCGAAAAGGGACGCTGTATGGCCATCATTCATAGGTATTACTACAACCCGCGCACTCATAATTGTGAACGTTTCATATATGGTGGATGTCAGGGAAACGCGAACAACTTTGAGACTGTTGAAGAGTGCAAGATGTCATGCATGCGGAAGTGTATAATTCTCTGTCTTAAACAAAGCGATATAACTTCTGCCTTAACTTGTCGTTCCTAACAATTTGCGATGTGCATACTATGCAGTTAACCAACCTTAAGTCCCTCCAGTCACCTAATCAGAAGAATGCGGCTTTTTAGAGTTTTATAGGAAAGAAAACTCAGTACAACTCGGTAATGAAAAGACAATTACGATTTCATTTTAACAAAAAAGCACGACTTTGGAACTTAAAACATCTTTCTGTTTTGCATAACATTTTATATATGTTTTACATAATATTTATTTATCTATAGCCATGAACTTTTCACCGGAATTGTTGTCAGTGATTTAAGAAATTTGTATTTGGAACAAACGTCGCCCTTGATCTCAGAAACGTTAAGAAATTAATGAACGCTGAGGCGTTTAATTGAGTAAGTGCGGAAATTGGGCCGCATTCTAGAGACCGCCGACACGGCTGGACGAAAGATAGGAGAGAAATCATTCAGTCGACACTTTTAAATAAGGTTCTAAAAGCTCTATTCGAGAAAACAAGCTCGACCTACTATTTGGCGTTTTTTCAGGCGACAGTGAAATAGGACACTGCAACCTACCTCCAAAAACTGGACCCTGTAAGGCGGCGATTCCTCGGCTTTTTTACAACCCACGCACCCATGAATGTGAACGTTTCACTTATGGTGGATGTCAGGGCAATGCCAATAACTTTAAGACACTTGAAGACTGCGAGGATTCGTGTGCTGGTAAGCACATATTAGTCAAGTTAGGATTGATTTCTACTGTCTTGTTATTTTCACGTGCGCACGCACGTAAGTTGTACAGAGGCGATGTATGAATTATAGGCTGCGCGTGAGCGTGAAAGTTGAGCAAGGTTCAAATCTAACGTTTACACGTGATCTTCCATACATTGCCTCTATTCAGAACTGAAGAAGTGTTCAAAAATGGAACAAGACGTCAGTGCTTCGATCGACAAACCTTGCTTTTTACAAATGCCAGTGAAGTCTCGAGAGTTTTACGGATCAAACATTTTTTATTGCTGGTTTTCAACCACGTGACAAGGCTACCATGCTGGTGTACAAAACCATAAAAGTTTTCTTCGCAAAATTTGCGTGTAGAAAGAGCTTTGTTCCCAGCAGAAAGATTATCTTTCGTTTTCGTCCACCAACGAACATGGCCGCCGTGACGTCAGCTGAAAACCAGCAATACATTTTTGAAACGTTTTCAGAGTCAGAAACTGTTTGTCGATAGAGAATTTTTCATTTTAATTACATTTTATAATAACGTTTTAAGGAAGTAGAACTTTATCCTTGCCAACAGACTGACCTCAAAAATTGTATGGACGATACTTTTAAATCCATTAATAACATATATATGAAAAATTATAAAAAAATTGGTTTTCTTATCTAATTTCAGGTTCAAGCTGAAATACAATTGCAATGTTGCTTCAAGTGTTATCAACAAGATTGAATTGAATCCAAATTTCCTTCCCTTAAATGTAACGTTATGAAACTAAATAAAATATGTGAAGTAAAAAAGGAAATTACTTTAAATGAACCAGAAGTGTCTTAATTGCTTTCTGATAAGCGCCCAATTTTCATCTTCCGTTTCTGATAATTAAGAGTGCGCATCAAACGGTGCTGCTAATAAAACCACTTTTCCCATTCTTTGGAGGGGGCTAGCTCAGCTTTTTATGATTCCGCAAAGCTCAACCATTGGACCTTGTATTCACTGAACACGAGACCAATTAGGATTAAAAAAAAAAAAACGCGCACACACACAGCTATAGCTATCGCCTAGGACTTTGTCTTAACAGAAATTTTCTGCTTAGTTTTGGGGAGAACTAGGCAATTTTTTAATGATAATTTCTCGATCATGAAAATTAATTACATTTTTATACAAAAGTTGCTGGAAATTGGAAGCTACCAAAGCTTTTCCCAAGTGACATTCTTTACTGTGTGATCTAGTGCACTACGCTTAAGAGAAAATGGTTGATTTAATTGGTTAACCATCTGAGTTAATGCTTAAAAAAGTGTATTTTCCTAATATTACACAGTTTGTCCTGTTTTTCAGAATTTTTGTTTTATTTTACAAAATTGTACCCTTAAACGATGTCATCTTGCCTCTCGCGCCTCTACCTCGCTTACCTTCAAGTAATCTTCGTCGATCCATGATGGCCTTAATTTTTCGGGTTAACTTTTTTTAATAGATACGTTACGTAGTTTTCCTCATTTAACGTCATCTTCTCACAAAGATATTTGACAAAACTTGAAGCATGCTCATAAAGTTTTATATCGACTTCTCCATGTCTTGATTTGTTTCCTGTGAATCAATGCATTCCGCCTCATGTTCATTAACCTTTTCCCGTAGCTGTTGGACCTCTTGAAAAACAATTCTGATCTCTTGTTTAGCGTAGAACAATTGAGTAGTCTAAACGTTTCCTGGTTTCAGTGTCACTGATGTCTCTACAGATTCGGCGAAGAATAAGGCCAAGAGTACAGTTTGCTCTCAGGGAGATCTGACTTATGTGTTGAGACCACTGAAGGTGCAGAAAATTTGCGGAAGAGTTATCATCGAAAAGACACGAGCTCTCTTAATTATTCAAATCACCACTGTGATTGAGTTAAGGTTCATTAGGTACCTTTTAGAGGAGGTCAAACGAATTAACTGATGTCTTCAAGCACTTAATATCGACTTCCTATGCTTTTGAGCGTATGCTTTGCTTGTCTGGTTTTATTTTTGAGACAACTAAAATTAGTTAAGAGAAGTTTTAAGTTGTCGAAGCAAACAGAATTGGCTGTAATGAGGTGTCACCCACCTGCAATCAACAATTTTCCCTCCTTGTTTACAAGCATAATCTTCGTACCGTGTTGCCGTTTGTTTAGACAGAACATTAAACAAAACTTCAATTGGATCAAAAATAGAGCCAGTTAGAAAAAGCATATATATGCTCAAAAACATAGACAGGTTTGGTTCTTGAGGCCACTTGGTCAAAAAGAATTTTTTTCAATAGTGCAAAATGAAAATCTTCGGAATATTGACAGACTCTGCTTGGAAACATCTATCCGGTACTTTTAAAATATAGCTTCACTCAGTTCATGCGACAGCTCCGCATTTGTGAAAAGAGCTTCCGCGACAATCGCGCTATAATGAAGGTGTGGATATTTTCAGGAAGTTGGTTAAGACAGATTTCCTTTTTTAAGCAGTGTTTTAGTAGCGGTTAAATGCTATCTACATTTTAAATATGTCACTGAATAAGCCGAGATTTTATACGTTAGTATTTGTTTTGTTAAAAGTTCTACGCACTAAGACTTATAGGGAATAAAATATTGATTTTAAAGCGTTATTGATCTATCTTTGTAAATAGCGCGTTAGAAGGAATAATTTATTATTCTCCTTCTTTCATCCTCCTCGCTTTTTTTTATCTCCTTTCCGTTTCCTTAGTTACTGTGATTTCGAGCTTCTCGGGCGCAATATTAACAACCGGCCTCTTGTCCCTTTTTCAATCAAATGACTGCAAATTTCGTTAGGCTCGTTTTCAAAAAAATCGGCTAAATATACATGTATACTATCAACTCAACGCAGAAGAATAAAACCAGAAACTAAAAATGTTGCTGGTAACGAACTCAGAGTGCAGTCGTTGCTTTTCTGTTCTTCTCGTCCCTCCCTTCTTATCCCCTCTCGGCGAATAAGGCCAAGAAGTACGGTTTGCTCTCAGAGAGATGTGATTTATGTGCTGAGACCACTGAAGGTGCAGAAAATTTGCGGAAGAGCTATCATCGAAAAGACAGCTCTCTTAATTATTCAAATCACCACTGTGATTGAGTTAAGGTTCATTAGGTGCCTTTTAGAGGAGGTCAAACTGATGTCTTCAAGCACTTAATATCGACTTCCTATGCTTTTGAGCGTATGCTTTGCTTGTCTGGTTTTATTTTTGAGACAACTAAAATTAGTTAAGAGAAATTTTAAGTTGTCGAAGCAAACAGAATTGGCTGTAATGAGGTGTCACCCACCTGCAATCAACAATTTTCCCGCCTTGTTTACAAGCATAATCTTCGTACCGTGTTGCCGTTTGTTTAGACAGAACATTAAACAAAACTTCAATTGGATCAAAAATAGAGCCAGTTAGAAAAAGCATATATATGCTCAAAAACATAGACAGGTTTGGTTCTTGAGGCCACTTGGTCAAAAAGAATTTTTTTCAATAGTGCAAAATGAAAATCTTCGGAATATTGACAGACTCTGCTTGGAAACATCTATCCGGTACTTTTAAAATATAGCTTCACTCAGTTCATGCGACAGCTCCGCATTTGTGAAAAGAGCTTCCGCGACAATCGCGCTATAATGAAGGTGTGGAAATTTTCAGGAAGTTGGTTAAGACAGATTTCCTTTTTAATGCATTTTTTTGGTAGCAGTTAAATGCTATTATCTACATTTTAAATATGTCACTGAATAAGCCGCGATTTTAATGTTGGTATTTGTTTTGTTAAGAGTTCTACACTCTTTTTCCTTTCATTTTCTTTTTGTGGTGTCGTTAAATCGTTTTACCCACAAAATCGCGTATTCGTTCTAATGGCCAGAATGTTTCACTTCGAAGGCATGTAATCAAAAGTACAGCTTGATGTTTCCAACGAACTCTGTTAGTAGTCCAAAAAATTTCATTTTGCACTATGGCCTCGGGAACAAAACCTTCGTATGCTTTCGAGCGTATGCTCAAATTCCTAGTTGATTCTATTTTGGTGCAACTGAAATTTCATTGAGTGTTATCTCTAAACAAACGGCAACACGGTACAAAGATTATGCTTGTAAACAAAGCGAGAAAATGTTGATTGCAATTGGTATCTTATTATAACCACGATAAAAGAAAGGCATATGCTTGAAATCATAGGAAGTGGATAGGACGTAGGAAGTGGTTCAAGACATCAGTTTGACCTCCTCTAAAAGGTACCTAATGAACCTTAACTCAATCACAGTGGTGATTTGAATAATTAAGAGAGCTGTTTTTTCGTGAATTTTCGTACACGTGATGTTTACGCCAATTTTTCGCTATAAAAGGAGCTACATTCCCTGATAACTGTATTGTCTCTTCCATAGCCACAGTAGCGAGGCATTACTGAAGATACCAAGTCGTCGCCGTAGATAGAAAAGGTAAGCAAGGAGCAAGACAACATTTCTCGGCTTTCTTTCTTACAAAAGTAATAATAATAATAATAATCAATTCTTATGGAAGGTGATCTCAATTCTGAACTGTACTTTTCATGTTTTGTAATGTATTTATTACTAGTTATAGCTATCGCTAAGTGCCAAGGAGCAAAGATTTTACCTATACGCGCGCGCTGTTCAATTTGTTTTGAAATGTCATGAATTACCGTAATTCACGAAAAGTATTTTGAACTCAATTCGATTGCATAAGCGTAAATTAACTTGAAAATAGTGAACTAAACTATTCTACTGCATAAAGAATTTGAAATCCCAACTTTATTGCAATAGATATTGAAATTCGATCGTTTTTTGTCCGAAGTTTCGCACAGGTCATTCTGCGTAAAATTTAATTGTCTTATAAGCAAACTTACAACCCTCCAAAATCATAAGTCCGGGAATATTCAAAGTACAGATTTTTATCTGGTCTCTGTTTAAAGCTTAGGAAAATCTACTTTCTAGAAATAAAAGATTTATGGTGCGCCGATAAAACATACCGAGTTATTTGTCTTGAAAGACGCAGAAATTTTTCCTGCGTTATTTTTTCTTCCTAGCATGCGC